ACTATAGTGGGCTGGCATAAATGCACAACCACTGAGGAAGCTACTGCAGCTGTCCAGGTGAGATGATTAAAAGGTTGCAGTGGAGAGAGGTGAACAGATTCAAGATATGTAGGGAGTGGCTCTAGAGTTAAGCTTCGAATTGACCTGTGGCAGAGCCTCAAACAAGTCCCAGCTTGGAAGGCAGAGCCCTCTTAGCATAATTAAGCTTGACCTTATGGCTGCCTCCTAGTTCCTTCCCGGGTAGCTAATGGGCTGTGGGAGGTGCAGCAAGTGCTGCCAAAACAAGTGAAACTCACAAGAACATTGTAACTATGTTGACCACTACCTTGTTTTTCTCTGACTATAAAATAAAGCCTTGGTTATCTCTCTCTCCCAATTTTTTTTTTGGGGGGGAGGCAACCAAAATTTTTGGTGAAAAAAAAAAAGCATGGGGACAGTCCGGGATAGGGCGGGGGTTGGGTGGAGGGGGGCAAATGGGGTAAAATAAAAATAAAAATAAAATAAAATAAAGCCTTGGTTTGCCAGCTGGATCTTTCTCTGTGGCCTCATCCAGGCACAGGAGGTCCACCGAGCCCCAGCTATATTCTCTTTGTCTGTCTTTTCTTTAATCTTTCATCACCCTCCTCAGGCTCACTGAACCCTTGGCTGTGCTGGCACGGCACAAAGATATATTTTAGAGATGGATCCAAGAGGACTTAGGGATGGATTAGGTTTAGGAAGTGATATGGTCAATGTGCCCACCTATTTGGATGGTGGTATTTCCAGCAAAAGGAAAGACTAGAAGGACAGGTTTCAGAGACAAAACCAAGAACTTATTTATTTTTGTTAATCCTCACTCTATTTTTTTTTCCCATTGATTTTTAGAGAGAGCAAAAAGGAAGGAGGGGAGAGTGAGAGAGAGATCAATATGAGAAGGACACATCGACTAGTTGCCTCCCCCATGTGCCCTAACTGACCTGGTGAACTTGAAACATACTTACGTGCCCTTGACTGGGAATTGAACCCGAAACCCTTTGGTGTGTGGCCAAGGCACCAAGAGATTTTTGTTGTTTTTTTAAATATGTTTTTATTGATTTTTAGAGAGGAAGGGAGAGAGAGAGAAACATCAAAGAGAGAGAAATGTCATGGGTCAGTTGCCTCCTGCACGCCCCCTACTGTGGATCAAGCCCACAACCCAGGCATGTGTCCTGATCGGGAATAGAACCAACAACCACAGCGGCTGGGCACCAAGAGTTTATTTTTGACATATTAAGTTCTAGATGCTTATGGATATCTAGGAAGAGACATTATGTGGACAGCAGGGCTCTAGTTTGTTTATGCTTAGAAGAGAGGTCTAAGATGAAGATAGAGTTTTGGGGAAATTATCAGTATATATGTGGTGTGTAATGCCCTGGGACTGGATGACATTACCTTAGAAGTCCATAGAAGAAGGAGAGCAGTGCCCCTTCCTGATTCAAGGGAAAGTTCATCCAGCAGTTGGATGTCTCCTCCTCTGGAGATGCCTGCAGAGGAGCTATGAGCAAGAGAGTGCAGAGAGGGAAGACTGTTTTCCTAGAGGCCAAGAGAAGAGCAGGAGACATTAGTCAACAGTGTCATTAGCTATTGGTTGGGAGACTAAAGTGAGGACAGTGACTGATGTTTCCTGAACTGAGTAGAACACACACCTGTGTTTGCTCAATATTTGCCCTGTCAAAACATGTCCCT